CTGCTCCACGTGAGGCCGCATCCGGATTCCGGGCTAAGTCTTCTTTGCAACATGCTCAGAGTCTCACGGCCTTTCCGCCGGAACACAGGCACCGCCATCGGAGACCCGATCGCCTCTGTTTTTCTTTAAAGATACTTTATTTATTGTGGGGCTGGGCCAGGCTGAAGCCAAGAGCCAGGGTCCTCTCCCAGGTCTCCCACATGGGTGCAGGGGCCCAAGGACTTTCGACATCTTCCACTGCTTTCCCAGGCCATTAGCAGGGAGCCAGATTGGAAGAGGAGCAGCTGGGACTTGAATAGGCCCCACATGGGATACCGGCAGCGCAGGTGGCAGCTTACCCGGCTACGCCACAGCACCGGCCCCTCGGTTACCTACTTTAAATAGAAATTTAAATCCAGAGGCTGCCGTTAGCTCTGCAGACGTGTCAAACTCTCTTGGACATTGTATTAACACAGAACACACACGGGGCTGGCGCTGTGACAAAGCGGTTAAGCCAACACTAACACCAGCATCCCCTATCAGAGCACCAGTTCGAGTCCCGGCTGCTCCACTTCCGATCCAGCTCCCTGCTAATGGCCTGGGAAAGCAGCAGAAGGTGGCCCAAGTGCTTGGGCCCCTGCACCCACGTGGGAGACCTGGAGGAAGCTCCTGGCTCCTGGCTTCGGACAGGACCAGGCTTGGCTGTTGCTGCCATTTGGGGGAATGAACCAGTGGATAGAAGATTCTCTCTCTCTCTCTCCCTCTCTCTCTCTCTCTCTCTCTGTCATTGTGCTTTTCAAATAAACAAAATAACACTGAAAACAGATGCACACATGTTGCTCTTATCTCCAACACCAAGATGAAGGTTATGGGTCTGACGCTGGCATCTTCGGACTGGGCTCTCAGCCGCCCTAAGTCGGCACTTGCTGCTCAGAGCCTGCTTTCCCAGCTGAGGACAGACAGTCAGACTGTGCGCGGGCTGCTGCTGGCGGCCGGCCCCTAAGTGGCCAGGCCGTCGGCTGCCCCTTCAACTCCGCAGGCCACTCGGGGCTGTGAGCACTGGGCGCATTCCTAGTCCCCAGCCTGTCTGAGCCCGGCCGCCCCTGGCTGCTGGCCCTCCCAGCTTCCACTAGGTGGCGCTGGTGACAGCACCAGTTTGCCCTGGGTAGCACTCTTGGTGCCCAGTAGTCCCCGACTCCAGGATGCAAGGCCTGGGTGGGCAGGCCAGGGTGGCCTCTCTCAGGGAGCAGCAGGGCTGGGCTGAGGCTGGTTGGCACACGGTGTGTTTGCTGTGTTGGTATGAGCAGGAGCTGCTTGGAAGCTTCGGTTTCCCTTTCGGTTTCCCTTTCCGGTAAACAGGTACATCGGGCCAGCAGGCATATCTGTCGTTACACAGACGCGGCTGGTACCAGAACCACACTGCGGGGACAAGTGGACCAGGGCCGACTGCCTGGTAAGCCGGGGACACTGCGACTCCCCCTCCTCTCCATCCCCACACGGCTCTGAAAGCGGATTCTTGCCGTGGATTCTTGCTCCCCGCTTCCCCCGAGCCCCTAAACAGTGTAGAGAGAGGGAGAAGGGAGAGAAACTGCTGGGGGCGGAGGGGAAAGTTTCATGACTCTCCTGGCTGAACTTGGACTCCAGACCGCTTGAGACATGGCTGGGTGACCCCAGAAGGAAGGTGGACATTGGGGGTGCCTGTCCTGTTGGGAAGTTTGAGGCAGGCATGGGGGGGGGGACGGCAGGTGATCCATAGACTGCCTGTCCTGGAGGGCCTGGCAGGGACAACACAGGACTTCTCCCGAGAGACAAGGAGCCCGGGTTGTTTCATCCACTCTGGCTCTGAGCACCCACACTGGGCCAGGCCCCGCAGGGAAGCCGAGCCCTGGGAGGGGCGTGACTGGCCCGGGGTCCCACAACGGGGGGCTGAGCAGGTGCATAGCAGGACTGTGCTTCCTGGTGCTCAGCTGGGGTTCCCTGCAGGCCTGCAGGGTGGTGGAGGAAAACCGGGGTGTCCTGTGTGTCCCCAGAGGAGGAGACGCCGGGGGTGCGCAGCGAGGGGGGTGGGACGCTGCCTGGTGTCCGTCACGTGATCATGGCTTTGTCATTGGAAGTGCAGAGGCCACCCCGCGGCCGTGATGCCCGTGGGGGCCTGTGCGTGGCCCTCTGGGTGTGCAGGAGCAGAGACAAGCCAGAAGGTGGAACTGATAAAAACTGCACTCTCGGGCACCAGGCAGAGTCAGAGGCCGGGGCTGAGCCCCCTCGGCCTGCCACGCGCGGGGCTCCCCTGGCCTCCCTGAGTCTCGGCCTCTCGCCAGCGGCAGAGGCCCAGGCCTGCTGCGGGCTGCGGTGGCGCAGCAGGAACAAGGCGGGTGCAGCTGTTAGAACCGCGGTGCCTGCGGGGCTCGCGGGAAACAGGAGTAGATGCGAAGCTGGCGGCGCCCTGGCCTCAGATCCACAGGGTGCCCTGGGGGGCAGGGTGGGCCCCACCTGCCTGGATCTCAGAATGACGGAGTGTTGGGGTACCACTGGTGTGGGATGCCGTTTCCAGTGTGGGCAACCACAGTCATGTAAGCCGTTCTCTCTCTCTCTCTCTCTCTCTTTCTCTCTCTCTCTCTGCTACCTGCCCATCCGACCCGGCTCCAGCCTTAGGCCGCTGAGGGTGGTTCACTCCACGCTGCTGTTCTCCCTTCTCCTCCTTCTTCAGGGCAGTGTAGTACTCCTGGGCATGACCCGTCTCTGACTGGTCGGCTCCTCCCTGGCTGGACAGCCCAGGAGTTTGCTCCTCGGAGCTTCCGGGAACACTGCAGCCCGCAGCCTGGCCCACCTCCCCTGCGCACTGTGTAGTTGCTGGGCGCTGGCCGGGGCAGGTCCTGGAGCTGACGGGTCTTGTGGATCGTCCTCCAGGAACCTGGAACCCGGCCGCTCCCCCATGAGGGGCTCTGCAGCCGCACCTGCCGCCAGGCAGGCGCTGTTGCTATGAACAGGTTCAAAACGCATCTCTTGGCGTTAACTTGCACGTCCTCTCGGTCTCAAGGAGCTTGGGTATCTTCTCACACGGCGAGTGGTCATTTGGGCTTCAGTTCAGATCTCTCGTCTTTTTAAAGATTTATTTATTTATTTATTTGACAGCAGAATTATAGAGGGAGAGAGAGAGGAGTTTTTTTTTTTTTTTAAAGATTTATTTATTTGAAAGGCAGTGTTATAGAGAGACAGAGAGAGAGAGAGAGACAGAGAGAGAGAGAGGTCTTCCATCCGCAGTTCATTCCCCAAATGGCCAAGGCTGGGCCTGTCTGAAGCCAGGAGCCAGGAGCCTCTTCGGGTCTCTCAAGTGGGTGTAGGAATCCAAGCCCTTCCATGGCTTTCCCAGGCCATCAGCAGGGAGCTGGATCGGCAGTGGAGCAGCTGGGACTCGAACCGGCGCCTATATGGGATGCCATGCCACAGGCGAAGGCTTAGCCTGCTGTGCCACAGTGCCAGCCCCATTCATTCAGATCTCTTAACCATTTCTTACAATCGGCTCTCACAGTGGTCAGGGGACTCTTGTGTGGTGTGGACTTCATCATCAGCCTCCTGCAGGTGTTGCGAGCAGCCTCTCTGGTCCGTGCCCCTTGCTCTGGCTTTGTTGACAGCTTCTTGCTGTTTCTGATGTTTAAGAGATCCAGGCTACCAAGTTCCTCCTTTAGAGCTTCGGGATTCATGTCCTGATTGACAAGGTTTGCCCAACTCGACAGGCTGCTACCGTGGCTTCTAGCACATTCATAGTTTTTGTTTTTTTTTTTTTTTTTTCCTCTTTCTGGTTTGCGTTTAGATCCCTTTGAGATTTATTGATTTTTGGAGAAGCTGTCTTTTCCTCCTTTATTTTATTTTATTTTTATTTTTTGGATAGGCAGAGTGGACAGTGAGAGAGAGACAGAGAGAAAGGTCTTCCTTTTTGCCATTGGTTCACCCTCCAATGGCTGTGGCGGCTGGCGCACCGCACTGATCCGAAGCCAGGAGCCAGGTGCTTCTCCTGGTCTCCCATGGGGTGCAGGGCCCAAGCACTTGGGCCATCCTCCACTGCACTCCCGGGCCACAGCAGAGAGCTGGCCTGGAAGAGGGGCAACCGGGACAGAATCCGGCGCCCCGACCGGGACTAGAACCCGGTGTGCCGGCGCCACAAGGCGGAGGATTAGCCTAGTGAGCCGCGGCGCCGGCTATTTTTCCTCCTTTTTATAAACGTAGGAGTTACTGAATGGGTCCCTACTGGAGACCAAAGGGGACCGGGCTTCCTGGAGCGGCTTCAGAGGAGCCGCCAGTGCAGTAAGGAGGTGACCTCCCCCGCCCCCCCCAAAGCTCCCGGCAGTGAGCAGCACAGGGGTGAGGCTGGAGGGCCAGGCAGGGCCCCACCCCCAGCTGGGTCACCTCGGGGAGCCGAGGGACTTTGGAACATTTCGCTCAGCCCACAGCCAGCGTCATTCAGACTTCAGCCCGGGTCCCCGTTTGTCAAACTTTCCCTTTCTCCTCGTGTTAAATCTACGGAGCCCACGGGGATGCGGAACAAGGAAAGAAATGGGCAACCCCCAGAAATCCAATCAAACTCCCGGAAGGACCTGAGGTCAGCGGGGTGGCTCCCGTGGTGTCTCGTCTTGTTCTGGGCCAAGAGGGCGGGGTTACTTGAATTACTCAACTCGGGTGAACAAGCAGAATTACTCCACTGCAGGGCAGTGGTGTGGTCATCGCTTTGTGTGGTCCAGGGACTTTCCTGTCCAAGTGACGCCTGCCACGCCTCAGGTCGGAACTTACAGAGGAGCGCGGAGCAGACTTCAGGGGCGACAGGCCACCACAAAAGCCCCGTATCTCTGGGGGGCTGCGGTGGCGGGGGTAGCGGAAGGGCTGAGCTGGGCCTCTAAGGAGAGGGAGGGCATTCCAGGGGCAGCGAGCAGCCGGGGCCCCGGCCTGCAGGCCAGGAGTGCAGGTCTTGGTCAAGACAGCAGGAGGCATCGCAGGTGCCTGGAACCGAGGTGACCACGGGGCGGGGAGCGGGGAAGCCGGAGCACCATGGGCTGTGTGAACTTGACCCTGGGGGCTCATCAAAGGCAACTCAGAGGAGCAGACGTGCTCCAACACAGAAGAGGCCCTGCCTGTCACACACCCGATGTTAGCTGTCGTGAGGACACACAGATGCGCCCAGCCCCACACGACTTCCGGGACTTTCCTTCCCATCTTTCCCTCCATGTAGGATTTTCTCGTTGCCACAGTTACCAGGTGACTCCCTGTCTTGTCCCGTACCCTCACTGGGCAGGAGGACTCTGTCTTGGCTTAGGTGCCACTGAACACATTTCTTTAAATAGCAGCTGGCCGAGCCCAGGGGAACGGGGAAGTGCTTTGGACTAAGTCTCCTGCGGCCTTGGCCCTTGAGGCCATCCAGGGAGGCCCCGCCACAGCCCTGGCCCCTGCAGCTGATGCTGCCCACTGCTGTGTTCTCTCCGCCAGGGGTGAAGCCGAACCTTCTCGCCCAATCCTGAAGGTGCAGACTGCGGAGCTGCAAGGAAGGCCCACGGAGAGGCGGAGGTGCCATGGACCCAGGTAGCAGCCCTTCCTCCTCCCTGCTCGCGCCTGGGGCCCAGGGTGGCTCCCCCAGGGCTGAGTGGACCTGAGCAGCAATCGGGGAAAGAACTGGCCTGGTGAGGGCACCTCCAGCCTCCAGAGAGACCAAGAGGAGCCTCCCGGGGTTTTCCGGGGCCCCTCCTCCTCCTCCCTCCCCCTGCTACCCAGCGGGTGGCTCAGTGGGGCTCAGGGAAGCACAGGACAGCAGGTGAGGGGAGCAGACCAGCAAGCTGGGAGCCCCTCCTGCCCCTCACTTCCCCGGGCCACTCCGGGCAGCTGAGGCCCTGACACCAGCCCCTCTGCTCACAGGGGCCCAGCAGACAGAGTGGCCCAGAGGCCCCCTGAACTGGGGACCCTAGTCTGACTTTTGTCCACTCCCACTCGTGTGGCCGGGAGCTCCCTCCCTCCCCACCCTGGAACTTGAGAACAGGCTTTCCCCGTGAGGTTGTGAGGATCCCGTGTAACAGGTGCACGCGGCCCCGGCCAGGCACCCCCCCATCCCAGGTCCTCCCGGAGTGCTGCTTCTCGTGCCCTCTGTCCAGAACCTGTGACTTGCAGGTGGCCCCCACCCGTGAGGGCACCTGCCCGGCCAGTGAGAAGCACCTGCTCCGGTGTGTCTGCCTCAGGTCGGGGCTGGGTCAGTGGATCTCAAACACCCCGTGTGCAAGGCGAATGCAGACGCGAACGGAACCAGCCTCCCCTGTTTTCTTCCCCCTCCGTGAACTGCGGCAGCACCCGGCTCCAGGCTCCCAGAGCAGCCCCAGAGGCACCAGGACAGGGAGGGGAGGAAGCCAGGAGCGCCCCAGAGCAGCCCTGGACCCTGGGCGTGGGGCTGGCGGGTCCCTGAGGGTAACAGGATGATCTTGGGCTTGGTAGTGAGGTGGCAGTGGGAAGGCGGGGCCCCTGCGACCAGCCTGGAAGGGAGAAGGTTAAAGTTAAAGAAGGTTAAAGGTTAAAGAGGTCACAGGGTCAGAGCTGTGTCCCCGGCACCCCTCCCCCCATGCAGGGACCATGCCACAGCCCACCCACCCACCCTCGTGATTCCCAGAAAGTCTTTATGGGGTGATTCACTCAACGCCCTACCATTTGAAACTTTTTTTTAAAGATTTAAAAAAATTTTAAATTTATTTGACAGATAGAGTTAGTGAGAGAGACAGAGAGAAAGGTTTTCCTCCCGTGGTTCACCCCCCAAATGGCTGCGACAGCTGGAGCTGCACCGATCCAAAGCCAGGAGCCAGGTGCTTCCTCCTGGTCTCCCATGTGGGTGCAGGGCCCAAGCACTTGGGCCATCCTCCACTGCCTTCCCGGGCCACAGCAGAGAGCTGGCCTGGAAGAGGAGCAGCTGGGACTAGAACTGACGCCCATATGGGATGCTGGCGCCGCAGGCAGAGGATTAACCTACTGCGCCACAGCACCAGCCCCTTGAAATTTTTTTATTTAAAAAAAAAAAAAAAACCACAGAGATATGACAGCATAGAGTGCAGAAATCACAGGCGTTTTTGAAATTGTTGGAATTTTTAACAATGTATTTATTTGAGAAGCAGAGACAAATAGAATGTTTTGGAAGTTGTTCCAAAGCCCACTCATGGCTGAACCGCAGGCTTGAAGACCCCAGAATGAAGGGTGTGAGGCCCAGAAGGCCCCAGGCAGGGGCTGGAAGTCGTGGGAAGTTTCCCCTTCTGAGGCCAAACCACCGCCTTCGGGTTGCTCTGGGCTGAGGACGCTGGCTCCTGGCAAAGCCCCAGGCACCTCCCCCAGAGCTGCTCTGCTACCCGGGCTGGGCTGGGGCGCCCAGCAGGCAGTGCCCATCGCCCCCGGTCCTGCAGGCCGGAAGTCCAGGTTCAAGGTGAGGGCAGGGCTAGGGTGTGGGGCCGGCAGAGGTCCTTTCTGTCCTGTGTGTGTGGAGGGAGGCAGAGAGACCGCAGGGGAGGAGGCCGTCCCTGGCACCAGCGCACCTTCTGCCCCTGGTTTCGTCTGTGCGACTTCACCTTTTTGAAACCTTGTCTCCGAATACAGCCACGGGGCTTTAGGGCTTCGGTCGGTCCCCCCCCCCCGCCCCCCGTGACTCCATCAGGACACCCCGGTGACGCCTGCTCCCCGAGGATTCGGGCGCATGGCACCACCGATGCTCAGAGGCACGCGCGCCCCCAGCGCTGCCCTACCTTGCTCTGTGTTCTTTGCAAACAGAGGACGAAAGCTCCATCGCCCACATCGTCAGGTATTTCCAGGACGAGGTGAGCAGAGAGGACCTGCAGCTCCTGCTGACGGAAGACGAAGCCTGGCAGATATTCGTGAAGGAGGCGGAGTTGTCCGGGTAACCTGCTGGCTGCCCCAGCCGTGCCACTCGCGTCTCCGGGCGCGCCCGGCGTTCCCACGTCTCCCGGCGCGCCTGGCGTTCCCACGGCGGGCACCCGCCTCCTGTGGTTTCCTATGGCTGCGCTTGAAGCGGCTCCTTCCCCACAGCCCACCAGGGGGTCACGCTTGGCTTCCCGGCTGGGGCCCCTTCTGAGAAGGCATCGATAGGCAGTTTTGTCACTGGGCAAACCCGCGGTGTGTCCTCAAGCAGACGCAGGAGGTCCGGGCTCCTCGCTCGGCAGGCCTCCATGCAGCCTGCAGAGGCCCGGGGGCTGCTGCAGGTTAGCGCGCTGCCGGGGAAGGTTTGTTCCATAAGCAGAAGGAGGGCACTCTCAAAGAGGGAGGGCGCAGGCATTGGACCTCATGATTTATGTCCAGAGATACATTTATTTATTCGAAAGGCAGAGTTGAGGGAGAGAGAGAGAGAGAGAGAGAGAGGCCTTCCATCTACTGGTTCCCTCCCCAAATGGCCAGGAACCTGGAGCTCCATCCAGGTCTCCCACATGGTTGCAGGGGCCCAAGCACTTGGGCCGTCATCTCCCGCTTTCGCTGGTGCATTAGCAGGGAGCTGGACCAGAAGTGGGGCAGCCGGGACTCGATCCAGAGTCATATGGGATGCCGGCCTTGCAGGCAGCAGCTTAACCCGCTGTGCCACAACACTGGCCTCTGGCCTCTGCATCCCACATGGGAATTCCCAGGTTTGATTCCTGGATCCCACTCCTGGCTCCAGCTTCCTGCCAACGCAGACCCTGGGAAGCAGTGATGATGGCTCAAGTAACGGTTCCTGCTCCCTACATGGGAGACCTGGATTGTACTCCTGGCTCCTGGCATGTAGGGAGTGAACCAGTGCATGGGGGCTCTCTTTCTCAGTCTGTCTCTCTGCCTCACAAATAAACAGACAACATTATAAAAAATAAAGAGCAATGATAAAAGTATAGTGTAGTAAGTTGATGACCAGGCGAGATCAGTGTTTATTCTCATTATCACAGGACTCCCCCAAATATCTTAAAATGATTATTTATTTATTATTTATTTTTTGACAGGCAGAGTGGACAGTGAGAGAGAGAGACAGAGAGAAAGGTCTTTCCTTTGCCGTCGGTTCACCCTCCAATGGCCGCCGCGGCCGGCGCGCTGCAGCCGGTGCACCGCGCTGATCCGAAGCCAGGAGCCAGGTGCTTCTCCTGGTCTCCCATGGGGTGCAGGGCCCAAGCACTTGGGCCATCCTCCACTGCACTCCCGGGCTACAGCAGAGAGCTGGCCTGGAAGAGGGGCAATCAGGACAGAATCCGGCGCCCCGACTGGGACTAGTGAGCCGCGGCGCCAGCCGATTTTTATTTATTTACTTCCTTATTGAATAAGTACTACAGAGAGCCTGTGATGTACCAAACCTGCCCAGCGTTGAAATAGAAATGCTTTGCATTTGTAAAATCCTCTCCTTCTTGATTTGTAGCGAAAGCCCTGGTGTGCACAGGCTGAGCCTCCCAAGCCCGTCTCGTGGCTAAGCAAACTGACCCTTAATGTTGCAGGGATGAGGCAGAGTCGCTGCGTGATGCTCTGACGGAGTTTGCGACAGACGTGGACTTGGACGTGGAGGACAAAGTCGCGCTCCAGAAGTACCTGCTGGAAAGGGAGAGGTTTTTGAACGAGTTTCCTCAGGCGAAAGCCGAGCTGGAGGAGTGCATAGCAAAGCTGCACGCCCTTGCAGATAAGGTTGACCAGGTGCACCGGAACTGCACCATCTCCAACGTGGTGGCCACCAGTGCTGGCGCTGTCTCTGGCATCCTGACCATCGCTGGCCTGGCTCTGGCCCCTGTGACAGTAGGGGCCAGTCTGGCGCTCACAGCAACGGGATTGGGGCTGGGGACAGCAGCTGCGGTGACCGGAGTTTCCACCAGCATTGTGGAGCACGCTACCACCATCTCAGCCGAAGCCGAAGCCGGCCGCCTGACGTCGACCAGCGTCAAGAAGGTGGAGAAGGTGGCCGAGGCCGTGGGTCAGAGCGTGCCCAAAGTCATTGCCATAACCAAGTCTTGCATCCAAGTCCTGCAAGGCATCGGGAAGAATGTCCGTGCCCTCAAGATAGCCCAGACCAACTCCCGCTTAGTGGCCAGCGCCAAGCGCCTCATGACCACTGGGAAAATCTCAGCCCGGAGCAGCAGGCAGGTCCAGAGAGCCTTTGGCGGCACCGCACTGGCAATGAGCAAGGGAGCCCGCATGATGGGTTTCGCCACCGCAGGCATCTTCCTTCTGATGGACGTGGTCACCCTGGTGAAAGAGTCGCAGCACCTGCACGAGGGGGCCAAGTCCAAGTCGGCTGAGGAGCTGAGGGAGCGGGCCCAGGAGCTGGCCAGGAAGCTGCAGGAGCTCACGGAGATCCATAGAAGCCTGCAGCCGGACCCAATGCAGTGGATGCTGTGACTCCCGGGCGGCGCCGGGGGTGGGGGTGGGGTGCGCTGACCACAGCCTGGGCAAACAGAAACATCTTAGAGGGACAAAGGGAGCGAGATCACATCTATGGAACTTGAACACCAGGCCGGGAGAATGCAGGTGGCAAATGGGGTCCAAGAGAAAGCGGAAGCCTGGAGCCCGGACTGCGGAGGGGGAGGGGCGCTATTCACTGAGGACTGATGAACAGAGTGGGGCCGTGGAGAGGGGGAGGCACGCGGGAGCGAGCCCCAAGAGTCAAAAATGGGAGAAAACCAGAGACTTGGACTGGTTGGGAGGTGGAAGAAGCAATGGTGGCCGCCCTGCTGATGCTGTCCCTGGCCGGATGTCCCAGCCAGGGGGAAGCCTCTCCCTGGGGTTGCTCTCCAGGGCGGCCTCCTCCACCAGTGGGCTTGTCTCGGGAGTGGGACGGTGGGCATGGTGGCAGCAGGAGTGAGGCACGGGGCACGTGAGCAGAGTGCGCTGTGGACCAGCCCAGTGCCAGGGAAGCTCCTAACGCCATGACGTAATAGCGGTTGCTTTCCAGGGGAAAAAGTGCGAAGCCAGGTGCAGGAACAGGCCGTGCTGGGGAGCCCGAGCAGCTTGGGTACAGAGATGCCGCCCCCCTGAGCCTGTTCCTTCATCGGCTTGGGGACGGGTGCTGGAGACGACCACAGCTCAGATCCGGCGGCCTCTGCTCCCCTTGCATCCAGGCAATGCATTGGCTCCGGGTTAATAAAAGTTGGCCGAGTTGCAGAGACTTTTTGTGCTCATGGATTTCTCTCGTCGAGGCTCTGAGCGCCCAGTTTCCCTTCCTCAGGGACCTCCTTGCAGGGGCTCAACAGGCAAGGGATCCATGGCCTCCCTGGGCTCCTGCGGCCCCGGCAAGCCCCAGCTGCAGGCCACTCAGGCGTTGGGAGAGTAAACCAGCAGAGGGGAGTTCTCCCGTTCCCCCTCCTCCCAAGTAGGAAAATGCTGAGCAGGTGAGAAGGTCCCACCGGGCCTACAGTGAGGCAAACCCAAGGTCAGGCGTTCGGAATTGCGCGTCCTCCTCTGACCGGCCCTCGGAGTTAGGGTAAGCGTGACGGTGCCCTGCGGCCCTTGGCATGTTGTGGCTCCTGTCACCTGGTCACGGTGAGCTCCAGGCCAGGGCGGGCGGACCGGAGGCTGCTCCCAGGCCTGACGGATCCCGCCTCCTCTCACGTCAAGGGCTCTGGGTCTGTCCCGTGACTCAGGTCTGAGAACTGGCGACAGCAGGGCCGTCCAGCAGAAAGTCTGTGTCTGGTCTTTGCTTGCCAGGCTGGGGGGTTTACAAAGCCCGTGGACTGCCCAGCCGCTGCGCGCGTCCTGTCCTGTGGCTGGCACCTCCCCAAGCCCTGGTCATGCGCCCTGCCTCTCGCACACCGTGCCCGCACCCTCTCTGCCTCTGCCCAGGAGTTCATGGCCGGGTGGAATTTCTCCCACCCTTAACGAGATCAGGGCCCAGCCCCTCCCCCAGGCACTGGTCTGGGCAGGAACTCTGGGAGAGCAAGTCTCACCTTCCACGGTCCTGCACACGCTGATTGCGCGTCTTCCTCTCCCCACCCCACTTCATACCAAGTAGTTTGGGGCTCTTGGGGTCACAGGGAGGTGGCAAACCTTTGGTCAAGTGTTGCCAGGCCACTGTGGGCACAGCTGGAGGCCCAGCCGCTGCTGCGGCCATCAGCGACCACTGAGGACAATCACCACAGTGAGCACCAAGTCTTCCCTTCTCCTTGCTCCTCCCACTCAAAAGCCACGCCCCCGGGTGTCTCTGGACAGTCTTTTTAAAGATTGATTTCATTTATTTGAAAAGCAGAGTTACAGAGAGAGGGAGAGAGAAGTCATCGTCCAGCTGCTGGTTTCTCCCCAGCGGCTGCAATGGCCGGGGCTAGGCCAGGTCAAATTCAGAAGCCTGGAACTCGATCCTGATCTCCCCATGGGTGGCAGGGGTCCACGCCCTTGGCCATCCGCTGCTGCCTTCTCAGGTGCCTTGGCCAGGAGCTGGCCTGCAAGCAGTGCAGCCAGGACTGGAACCGGCGTTCATGGGGGATGCAGGCTTTGCACCTGCCGCACAGCACCGCATTCTGGACAGTCTTTTTTTTTTTTTTTAAGATTTATTTATTTATTTGAAAGGCAGAGAGAGAGAGAGAGAGACAGACAGAGAGAGGTCTTCCATCTGCTGGCCCACTCTCCAGACGGTGGCAACGGCCAGAGCTGAGCCCTTCTGAGGGCAGGAACTTCTTCCGGTCTCCCACGTGGGTGCAGGGGCCCAAGGCTTTGGGCCAATTCCCACTGCTTTCCCAGGCCACAGCAGAGAGCTGGATCGGAAGTGGAGCAGCTGGGACTGGGAACCGACACCCATATGGGATGCCGGCACTGCAGGTGGTGGCTTTACCTGCTAGGCCACAGTGCCAGCCGCCTGGGCGGTGTCTCTAACAGTGACTCCATTCTGCTGCTTTGGTGCCTAACCCCGTTCCAGTCGGCACTCTCTGGGGGCCCAGCGACTCTGAGTTGTGTCCAGCAAGAAGGAGAGTGGCACCGAGTGGCATAGCTTCCTCTAGCAAGAGCTGCCCCTTGGAGCACCCTTCGAGCTGGCTCGGAATCGCGATCCCTCAAATCTTAGCTGTCCCCTTCGCAGTGTTCTGGTTGCATCCATGGTTGCAAGTTCCCCAAGGTTGTCTCCCCTGGGGTCACACCGTGGGGCTTGGACCTGGCCGGGTGTCCCCCCCCGGGCTCTTGGCCGGCAGACCCTCGGTCCCCATTCTGCCCAGCTGGGCTCTGGTCTCCTGCCAGGACACCTGGCAGGCTCCTGTGCCCCCTCTCTCCAGGGTTCTGACGCTGCAAGCCCTGGGCACGGTCGGAGCAGCCGCCGAGCTCCTGAGCGTGGGGGCAGAGGGTGAGGCCGAGTTGGAGTTGGCCTTCATTTTGCTGTGAGTCACTTCCGCTCTGGGGGCCTATTTTGTCCCCTAATAGATGGGGCTAAGGTGTTCGGCTCTGCTGCCCCACCAGGGTCCTGATGGGGGGGAAGAGCCCCTCAGGAGACAGCAGGGTCGGGGTTGGGGGGCAGGGACCCAGAGGGATGGACAGGGACCCCAAAGCCCTGCCCTCAGAGGCCAGAGAGGAGCTGGGGAGACCTGGGAACTGCAGCTGCCCGCTCCGACCCAGCCGAGATGGCTACTGGGTAGGAGTGAGGGCCTCGTGTACAAGGGGATTCCAGAATTACGGATTATTGATGGGAAGTAGTGTGAAAGTTAAGTGTTGGCAAATAATCTAAATATCGAAACGATGTACATGCAAGTACATGTGGGCGTGTGCACACGCATGCATATATGTGCACACGCATGCACACGATGGCCGCTCAGATGTGATGCACAACCAGTCAACCAGGTTTCTCCTCGGGGCCTCAAGGCCGCTGACTGTGACGCACTGTAGCAAGCGCAGCCGCTGTCGCCCTCTGCCTCCTTTCCGCACCTGCCGAGTGTTCCCTAACAAGAGTGGACCCCTCAACTCCCCTGCTCCGGGCCTGCAGGGTGCGCTTGTGCTGACTTTGCCCGACAACCTTTTCCCCCAAATATTAGGAACAAGGCTGGGCTGCCAACCAGCTCTCGGGGAACAAGGGGCCTCTTGGGCGGCTGCCATGCCTGGAACAATCACGGGGTGGGGGGGTGTCTCCCCGCCTCCAGTGGTCTCCAGGTCTGCTTTGCTGGGCACCAGGAAGTGTGAGACCCCCAAGGGAGTCAGAGGTCACAGGAGAGGATTCCCTTCCCGCGCCTGCAGCAGCTTACCGGGGTGCACAGAACCCCGGGACGTTCCCCCGAGCCCAGTGCATCGCCCGGGCCTGCGTCCGACCCTGGAGCTCACAAAGCACCTGTGAGCGCTTGCCCGGGCGACGTGGCGATTCCCAGGGGACACTGAAGACTGCCTGCATTTGGAAATGCCCCTACCTGGGGCTGTGCCTTCTCCCACATCCTGCACCCTCCCCAGCCAGTCCAACACGCAGGAGAGAGGATCATACTGGGGCTTTGTCTCATATGGGGGCCTTGGTTGTGTTTGAGAAGTCACAGAAGGGGGCTGACATTGTGTGTTGCGTCGCCACGGGGTAAGCCCCCACCTGCGATGCTGGCATCCCGCATGAGTAAGGATCGAGTCCCAGCTGCTCCTCTTCTGATCCAGCTCCTGCTAATGCGCCTGGAAAAGCAGCGGAAGGTGGCCCAAGTGCTTGGACCCCTGCACCCACGTGGGAGAGCCAGGTGGAGTTCCAGGTTCCTGGCTTTGGCCTGGCCATTGTGGCCATCTGGGAAGTGAACCAGTGGATAGAAGATTTCTCTCTGTGTGTCTCTCCCTGCCTTCTCTCTCTGACTCTGCCTTTCAAATAAATAAATAAATCTCTTAACAGAGAGAGAGAGAAAAATCAAGGAAGGCTTCCCTGAGGAAGTGGCTTTGAGCAAAGTCTTGAAGGTTGATGAAGAAGCCTGGGGAGGGGTGGTGACGAGGTTGTTCCAGGTAGCAGGCCACCGTGTAGGGGCTGTGGCTGTGTGGGGATTCTGGAGCAGAAAGCGGCCGCCAGCACGGGTCAGCATGGAGAGTGACCAGACTGCAGCCCGGGCACACCAGCCTCTGTGCCTGGGCTCCTGCCGGTCCTCTGGCCAGGGCAGGCGGAGGAGAGCCTGGGCAGTGCGGCAGCCGCTGCAGGCACAGGAGGTGGCACTGTTGGCGCAGGCATCCACCAGGCTGGAGCTGCAGCTTGGGCCCAGGGGGACCTCAGAGGACAGCGCTGGCAGAGCTGTGCTTTTGACGGGAGTGGGGGCAGAAGACACAGAAAGCCAGAGTGGGGGTGGGGGTGGGGGGCAGGCGGCTGGCGCCAGGGCGGAGGCAAGGGGGCCAGGCCAGAAGCGCCACCTGGGAGCCCGCTGAGCGAGCCGAGGCCTGAGTGGGCCCCGGAGTGCCACAGAGCCAGAGAGACACGGCCCTGAACTGTGCCGCCCCCGAACTGGACAAACGCAGGGGCAGCCTGCCAGCCGCCCTGGCTCCCCTCCCTCGGAGCGCAGTGGCCCGGAGGCTGGCTGCATGGGGCCCAGCCGGAGGAGGAGGGCGCTCCGGGTGCCTCCGGCCCCAGCCCTGTGGCTGACTTGGGGTCACGCTCCACCACGGCCCCCGGTCCTCCTCTTCCCCATTGGGCTCCTGCCATCCTCTCTGCCTCGCTGAGCACGCCTCCAGCCCTCCGATCCGCGGGGCGGTGAGTTCCACACACAGGAGATAGGGCCTAGGGCTGTGCTCCCACACTTCCCACATTCCAGGTACATGGGGCGTGATTCCTCCTGTCCACTTCTGGTAGGGGGGGGATGGCCCCTGCTCGGGTCAGTGCTGACCTATGACCTTGTCCTCTACCAGGGCAACCAGCAGTGGAGAGACAACAGGAGCAGAGCCGCAAGCTTCGTGGGGGCCCAGAGCAAGCAGTGAGCTGTGTGGGGGCCCGGAGGGAGCAGTGAGCTGTGTGGGGGCCTGCTGAGCGGTGCCGCTGCTCCCTGCATGACCTGGGCCATCCCGGCTGACACGAGCAGGGTGCCTGGAAACCAGGGGGCCATTTGCAAAACGCAGTGAAAGCTATGCCCTGTCATTTCTTTTATCAACAAATTATTTTTTATTTGAAAGGTAGAGAAAGAGAGAAAGCTCCGTTTTGCTAGTTCATTTCCCCAAAGCCTGCGACGGCTGGAGCTGGGCCAGACCAAAAAGCCAGGA